GTGGCAAGTAACATATATTTAGACAGCCTGAGTACATTAAATAATCTCAGCATGTGGACAGCTTTCCAAACACACTATTGTGACTAGGCTTTTGGTTGTTGGTTTTTTTTTTTTTATTATTATTATTTTTTTTTTTTGTCAGAGAAAGCAAATCCAATTTACAAAAACGTAAAGCTTTCATGGTGTTACATCAAACTGCTTTCCAATTTTACTTGCAAATAGATAACAGAACAGTTCATCAACTGCTCACAACCTTTGCAGGCATGGTCCTGTAGTTGCTCTTACTTTTATGCTAGGGAAACGTAACTCCAGGCTATCATACCTCGATGCTACAGAAACTGATTTAAAGGTTTCTTGTAAATGTTATTTTTTTTTTTTTTTCACCTTGATCAGAATAAAGCAAACTTGGTAGATGTACTGAGGTCTATTAACAAAGGATGTATTTCGCCCACAAACACCAGTCCCAACTCCCATTCTCTCTGAAACCCTCCTAAAATGTTTAATACTGAGGTGCATATGGGCTTTTGAAGGCAAATCGACCACTTGAAGATGACTGATGTGACAGCAACAGTTTTATGAGTATTTCCTCACAAACACAAACACACACTTTCTGTAAGGAAAAGACAAACTGTAGCAGTACCTACACATTACCAATAGTCAATTTTTCCTGGAAATTATGTACAATTTCAATTCCTCTATTAAAAAACAACACACTTGTCAGAATTTTCTAAGTAAAAGATAAATGGTCCTAATAGAGATACATAATGTTAAAATCAAGTCTCATCTACTGATGAGTTTTCTTCATTGGTGCTTGCATTCTACAGTTTTACAATATACACCACAAACAAGGTTTGCAAATAAACATCTGGTTTTCCTAAGCAATAAATGAAAACCACAAGCAAATTATAGTTATACCATAGCCTGCATTAAACAATATGGAAGCTATCTTAAAGTAGTTGCCCAAACCAATTCTCTTACTCGAACAAATTAAACCCAAGTCAATTGGTAAATAAAAACAAGGTAAATCAGTCGACATTTCACAAGATCACGTGCAGCAAAAATAAGCTTATCTATGATCTGAGCCATCAGAGCAGCAGCTGCTGTGTGCTTAAGAATTCAAATGACTGAAGGTTTCTTAGTATTTTACACTGCCACCTAGTGAAGCCGACACTCCTAGGCTCCGTGTCTCCAGTGCTCTGTTAGTATGAGAGCTAACTAAAAATGACAAAACTGTAAACATTACCATTAGTATATATTTGTTGGAAATTACAAATAACTTGAAGGAAAAAAATAAATACAGTAACATGCGTAATCAGTATGATTGAGTACTGAAAGTTCAAAATGCATCTGACACCAAGAAGAAAAAAAAAAAGAGGAAAAAAAATCCTGGAGACACAACAGATAAAAAGTGTATGCTTATATTTCCATGACATATGCTTCACTTGGAAAAATATTTAATGTAGACTCACCAAGTGAAAACTAAATTACTGCTGCTTTAGCATCTGTGCTTGTATAGAAGCTGTAGATGAAATTGAATTTCTCAAGGTGATTATTTCAAAGCCCCTTTTAAAAAAAAATATATATATGTTGCCTAATTGTGTGCATCCTGCATCTTTACTGCAAGGTTTAATCACTGGATCACTGCCTCACAAGGCTGATCACAGAGCTGTTGCAGGAAGAGCTGTGGTGCAGAACTGCAAGCAAGATAGCTGCATGGACAATTTCCCCCCACACATACCATTTTTATCACTTCCAGCTAACAGAAAGGCTTCATCACATGGCCATTCTACAGCAGCCACACTGCTTCTGAATTGCTGTCAGTCATGATGCAAGTCCCAGATGTAGCATAGCTCTGTAGCTGCATTTCTAAGAGAGGGAACCACAAACTTGGGTAAACCAAGAAGGCATTTTGCTTCTCATATGCCCTCCAACTTCCTGATTATTAATTTTAAAATTTATCACAACCCTCAATCAGGAAGGGCATCAGCAAACCGTTAAGACAGCAGACTGACTTATTCCAAACGTCAAACAGTACAGTTCCCACTTCTGTGGGCCAAATTTTGTGCATGTAAACTGGAATAACCCAATAAAGAGTTTTAATCCAATCATGTCATCACACCAGAGAAAACTTAATCCTACACAACTCAGTTCCTACCTGTTTTCTTTAGCTGTCCACACAAATACAAAGCAAACAAAACCTAGGCAAAGCAGCAAGGTTACTGCTGTAACAAACTGTACAAAACCAGTGTTGACACTCTCTGCTTAATGCTCCATTTGCATTGCAGTAAATACAGCAAGATACCAAGACACACTTAGCACCCGGCCATTCATGCCCACTGTCCTGTTTCTGAGTCACTTATCAGAAATACTCCCCTGAAGTACAGTGCATCCTATTAATATTGCAGGAATACAATATACTACATTGTAACTGCATACAAAAACCTGGAAGTACATTAAAAACAGCTGAAATACAATAAAAGCTCATTTTCCACAGGAGTTTCTCCTTAGTTTTCCTTCATCGAGCCACCACTTACCATTACAAAAAAAAAAGAAATTAAGACTTCTTGGTATCTCTTATTAAGAGATTGCACTCTGTTTGCCAAATGAGCATTTTAGCAACAAGCAAACTCCTATTGGCAGCTGTACAGCTAACAGAATTAGGCAAATTGATAAAAATCAAAGTGCTTAAGTTATGTATATGTGTAAAGTTGAGGAGAAAAATGCTGTTAAATCAGTGCTCCCAGCCAAAGCACAGACTGACTTCACTACCATAATCAGGCTGTGTGTTCACTGAGGTAATAGCATAGGGTAAAACTGCATACCAACTAACTACACAACAAGAAGAAAAATATTCACCACAAAAATACAGACGGATTTCACTTGTAATGCTACGGCATAAGGCAACTGAGGACTAATTCAATCTGCCAAGGAAATGAACTTGACAAACAGCATCCCATTTACCACGTTTGACACAGTACTATGTTGAGTAAGCATCTTTAGCTTACATCTTCTGAATTTTCATTAGACAGAGCCTTCCTCAACACTAAAAACAACCTAAAGGAAAATGCAGGGCAAAGTCACTGAGGAACAGGAAGAAGCAGCTTAGATCATCAGGTGAGGCACAAAGCCTATTAGCATCCTAATCTATGGAAATCAATATTAACCTCCTCTGCAGCTACAGCCTTGAAACTACAGCAAATGAAAGAACAGTCTTGCTCAGTCTCTTCCGGATTCAGAGTGAATACTGAACTTAAATCTAAAACACTTTAGAAGAAGGAAACAGTTGCTACTTCAAGTAGAAACTCTACAGGTACTGACCATTAACATTTTAAAACCCACGGCTGAAATGCATAAGCATAGTCCAGTAAGAGCTTACTGTAAACCTGGCAAATCTGTTGAGCAAGGGAATACAATTTGCTACCTCTTGAGACAAATTAATAAGCACACTACCTACAGCCAGACTGATAGCTATAAGCACAATTCTTTGATGTGAAAACTAAGGCAAACTCGTGTAGGTGCCCCATCCCCGGAGGCATTCAAGGCTAGGCTGGACTTGGCTCTGGGCAACCTGGTCTGGTGGTTGGCAACCCTGCACATAGCAGGAGGGTTGAAACCAGATGATCATTGTGGTCCTTTTCAACCCAGATCATTCTATTATACTTCACAGATACAGCTCTCCAGATAAGTTAGGCCAAAAAAGAGATCAGCACTTACAAGCTTAGAGAAATCCATGGAAATATAGAACTTGAGGACTTGCAAGTAAAAGAAAAGCTTTATTTTTCAAGGTAGGTGATCTTCAGCACTACAGAGGCTGCCAGAAAAGGGAGGGAAAAGAAAAAAAAAATAGACAAAAGGAAAACAAGGACCCTGAAGTCGTAACACCGCCCTTGCTCCCATCCATGTCATCAGGGCTTCAAAAATCTCATAGGACTAATTTCTTCCTCATATTTATCTTCATGTAAGCAGTACATGGACAGTAACAAGGACTCGCATGCTCAAATCTCACTGAAAACACACTAAACTGAAGCCTGAGCTACACGCTGGGTCTTAAATCTACCTCAACTTAAATAAGCAAAGCATTTGAAGTAAAATGTTTGAAACACTGCCTTGTCAGAGATTATCTCACCTGTAAAACACGTCATAGGAAACAGGGTTTTGTCAATAACCAAATCTCTACGCGAACTCCTGCCTTCATGCAGTCTGAGAGACACAGACATTTTCCCCCATCATTTCGGCTACGTTAGACACTAAAGTACAGATCGAGGGGGGCCTGTAGCCCAGCCAAGACCAAAAATGAGCCTCATTTTGAGCTTCAAAGCCAGATTTAAAAAGCATACATATGGCCTGATTTTGGGATAGATATTTTAACACATCCTTAAGGGTCAAGTAAACAAATCAATTTATTCTGCTGAAGACAAACAGAAGCATCAGATGAATTAATTGCACAAGACATGGATTAAAAAAAAAAAAAAAAAAAAAAAACCAAAAAAAAAAACAGCCCCACGAAGACCTCTTGCAAATATTTGCAATGCAAACAGCGCACCGGGTTAGCCTTGAGGAGCAAGCAAAGAGCAAAGCACTAGCTCTGCCATTCCTGCTTCCAAAACTGTATGTCATTTCGGCGAAAAAGAACAAGAGCTGCGCTGCCTCCCACATTAAACACCATCCCTTCTCACCCCGCAGGCCCGTCCCCGCCGCCTTTCCTGGCCGGCAGCGTCGCAAGCCGCAACTCCGCTCAACTTCTTCCCTCCTGACACCTTCCTGCAGCTTCCACCGCGTTTCGCCCCGCCGGGCGCCGGGGGCAGCGCCGAGGGCGCTCTCAGCCCCGGCTCAGGGCCGCGCACGCCTGGCGGGCTGCAGCCTTAAGAAACTTGATAAGGGAATAAAAGGGAGGGACTTCGGCGGCACCGCTCCCGGCTTTTAATATCTCCTGACGCTCCCAGCGGGGAAACCAGGAACCAAATCGCCCCGCCCGCCCGCCGTGCCCCGACGGCTCTTACCTGCCCGGCGGCGGCGCGACCTGCGTGGCACTGCTCCCCGGTGCGTGCGTGTGCCGCTCGGCGAGCTGCTATTTATAGTCCGCAGCCTTCAGCGCGGCTGCAGCGAGAGGAAACGAAGGGCTGCGCGCCTCGACACCCGGAGCCGGGCTCGCCCGCCCCGCCGCCAAGGCGAGTCGCGGCTCCCGCTCGCTGCGAACACCGGCGTTCCTGCCTCCGACGCCGCCCTCGGCCGAGTCTCCTCCCAATGTCACCGCAGCCCGTGTGGCTCCGAGCCCTGCGGCAGGCGGGCGGCACGGCCGCGCGGAGGTGACCCGCTGCTGCCGCCGCTGCTGGAGGAGGCGAGACCGTCACTGGGGTGTAGGAGGGAGAAGCCGCCGCTTGCCATTCACCTCCCGCCGCCCAGAGGGAGCCCGGCCTCCGCGGCCGCCTCTGCCGCGCGCCGGCCCCGGGGGGCGGCCCGGCAGGCGGCGGTCCCTCGGCGGGCGGCTGGGCAGAGCCGGGCGGAGCGACTCCGCCTCCATCGGCCGGGCGGCCGGGGCGCGACGGGGAGGCGTTTGTCACTTCCCGCGCCCGGAGCGGGAAGCGGGGCGAGTTGCTGCGCTCGTGCTCAGAGCTGCAGAAGTTTGGCGCGCAAGGAAGGAAGAAGCCCCTCACTGCAAAGTGGAGCCCCGAGGGCTTCACCTCGCGCTCCGCACTGCTCTCGAGGCGGGAGGATCGCTGCTCAGCTGTGCGTCAGCGGGCTTAGCAGAGCAGCCTCGAGGCACCCCCGGAGCGCGGCAAAGCCTACGGGCTGGGCTAATAAATACCTCGCTTCTCCTCTAAATGAATTCTTGTGCTTTTGTCTGGAGTTAGTGCTAACCGGAGTTCTTCCACACCACAGCTGGACCCGATTTGGGAGTTGGAGATGCACTATCCTTGAGGTCTCTTCCAACCCAGGCCATTCTGTGAATTAATTTGGGAGTGAAGCTATACACGCAATTCTTATGCCACCATACACAAAAACAAATGAAGCCAACGCACACTAGATTATTTCAGCCTGGTCAGTAACACTTCATACGATGTTCAGTTTGACGTCTCTACATCAAAATATACATTATTGCCTACTCTCGTCACCTACAGTTACCTGGACAACACAATAAACTACTTCCAAAAGATTTCAGTCAAGACCAAGTTACACAAAGTTGGAAGCAGAAGGTGGGAGCTAACCAAATATTTGTGTTTTATCTTAAATAGAAATGAAAAGCCTGAGAAGACACACGAGAGTTGGTGAGGACTAAATATTTAAGCATTAAAAGGAGAGGACAAAGACCTAGCTTGATGGGACCACACATTTAGGTAAAGCTGTTCAACCATAAGCATTTGCAGAATCGTGCTCACACTGAACAAACCATTGTAATGAAATGAAACTCCCCTTTAAATTTGGACATGTGTCTGATTATCTCGTGAACTTCCTTTCGCTTCTGACAACAGTAATTTCTTCGTCATCTGCTTGCTTGTTCCATTTTTAATGCTCCACAGTATACACAGCATAAAAGATCCTGCTAGTGTATGAGCTGATATCAGAGTGCCACCAATGACAAGGGACACGGTAGGCAGGAAACAAGGAGAACTTAGCCAGATGGAGTTCTACAGTCCGTCTCTTTCTCTGTGCTCCCTCAAGGGCTGAATACAGTTCAGGTTTATTCTGCAGTTTCTGTCCAAATGAAATAAGCTTAAATGTGCTACAGAAGCACCTGCTTAGTTATTTCAGTAATGAAACCTTCATAGCTTGCAGCACACAAGGAGCTGTTATCAAAACAGTGATCTTGACCATACACTTTATTCTCGGACAAGGCTTGGTTATACAGCAGGTCATACTGCAGAGCACAGGAAGGAAGCAGTCAGATTTTTAGATTAGACTTCTATGTTAAGACAAGCTATCACTAAAAGATGCCTGTTCAGAAGACTCGCTTATCTTCTTCGCCCCACTGAGAAGCATAAGAGTTTTATTCCTCCTCCAAAATGTTTTGAAAATGTTGTATAGGTTACAGCTCTTCCATCACGCAGTCAAAGATTTCAGAGCTTGGAATTGCACATAAAAATATCATTTAATGTTCAGAAGTACTGAGCCCAAAACAATTTCAAATGTGTTTCAGTACTCGCTATCTCTGAAAAATCAGGTTTTTTTTAAAGGGCCTAGATACAGGTTTCCGACACCTAACTATATCCACCCAGGCTTGAAAATTAACCTATATATACCTGTGCTTCATAATAAATGCATCAGAAAACATCAGATGAGCCATAAAAGCGTTCTCAAAAAAGCAGAGCAAAAATCGCACCATCAGAGCATGAGACACTACGCTGATGAAGCCACTTGGCTGTGCAATTCAACACATTCTGGCATATGGAAAGCAGCACCTGAAGCCCAGCCTTTAACAGACAACTGGAGTAGCAGAATAATCAGAAGCAAACACTTACTGAGGCAGATTCCGTGTTACTTGTTTAGTGGTAACCCCCAAAAATATTTTGCAAATCAAAAATGTTTCCTTGAATGTCTCTCCTTTTCTGCAAGCCTAGCAGCTATCACACCTACTCCTACACACGACCTCTTGTATTACATGTTACACACATTAAGTATAGCTAAGCTTCTTGGTCTGATATTATTCTCTTTGAGTGGAGAATCAAATTGAGGGTCTCTCACTCAGTAAAAGAGATGAGAATGAGGAGGTGAGGGAGGAAACAAGAAATTTAACTGTGACAGACTGAGGGCTTCTCAGGGGAACAACATATGGAGCTACAGTGGAATATCCCTGCTCCAATCCAGCTAGCAAGGCTTGCTATTTCCAGGCCAAGGCCCAGGATCAAAGAGAACAATAAATCACTATCTCCAGGATGAAAAAAAGAAGTAGGATTTAAAGGTCTGTCAGCAGCTCAAAAGTCTCTCCGGTGGAGAAGCTGCAGCACGCAATCTGAGTATCCCAGCACACAGGGTTCATGGAAATTTATTCCAGTTTTAAGGAAAGGCAAAAATCTAAGCAAGAGAAAACAGTAAACTTCAGTGTTACAGGCCTTCACTCAGAGCACATTTAGGTGGAAGCATGTTTGCTTCCAAGAAGCTTTCTGTGTTCTATCTGATCAGTGTTATGCCTAACTCTTTACAGCCAGAATGAGTGCCTGTGTAGGATAATCGCATTGCTTCTCTGTAACAGCCACAGTACAGCAAAAAAAAAAAAAAAAAAAAGAAAAAACTTCTTTGACCACAAAGTATTAATTCAAGAATCAAACCTTACCAAGAGCATAAACTGTCACGTTATTAGTGGCTGGTAACGGACACCCCTTCAAGCTACCATCCTCCTCATACAGCACAGCCAACAACCCTGCCTGAAACCAAAGGATGCTCCTGGCACTGAACCAGAACCGAAAGCACCAAATAAAAATAACCAAAAACACATCCGAGGCGAGATGGAACTTGGCTGGTACAGCTTCCTGCCTAAGCGTCACTGTAGATTACTGCACAGAATTGAAGTCTGTGAACTCTGTCAGGCTCTTCACAAACAGAGAATCAGTGACCGTGAACAAGAGTTTGGCTGTCAGTGCCTCACACCTTGTTACTTACACTGATGATGAATGGTTTGCAAAAAAACTACCCTGCTGATTTAATGGTAATTTATGCCCAATATACGCACTGCAACATAGCTATAAAAAAAAACTGCAAAAGAAGCAAGAGGACTGAACCAGGTACTGTGAGGGAGCCAGAAAATATCAAGTACTGCATAAAGCAATATTTTAACTTCACAGTTTGTTCTGCGACTGCAATCCACTGTGCCAGGACTACAGGGCAGAGGGGCCTACAAGGGCACCGCCAACACGTAACGCCCACAACACGAGCAGCTAATAAAGCAGAGGTGAAACTGAGGCATATCTTACTAGAAAACACTGAAGAGAAGTGTAGAACACTTCCTCAGTTATCCAGAACTGCAGACTTCATCGAAACGCAGTGATAAAAACAATCCAGAAGCATAGGCAAAGAGATCACAGAGTTAGCATCATACTGCACACCAAATAACCAATGAACAGTAACGCAGGCAAAAAAAAAAAAAAAACCACCAAAACCAAGTTCAGTGCTGCACAGACTGCACCTCCTGCTGAAAGACAGATAGATTTGCTTCCTGTGCTCTTCAGCAGTATTTCTCTTTTGTGGCACCAGTAGGGAGTGATTGTAACAAAGTTACATAACTCAGATGTTGTTCTATGCACAAGGTCTAAGATATGTATCATCAGCATCCATCTGGACAGTAATTTCACTTTTCCTCCCCCAAAGTTGGGAAAAAGTCAGTCTGAAATATTCCAGTAAGAGAACTCTCGTTGCTTTTTTCCAATGGCATTTTCTCTGAAGCTCTTAATTTAACGTCATGCAGTTTGTTTTGTTGTTTTCTGTTGTTCTTTCAGGTTTTTCTCGTGCATTTTATAAAAAATGACAACAGTAACAACCAGATTTCCACAGGACAGCGAACATGATTGTATCACTAATATAACATTCGAAACATGGCTTTTGGATGAGTTAATAAGTTCAACACAAACTTACTCAACTGCTCAAAACGTGATAATGGGGTGGTTTTATTTTAACATTACATCACATGAGCTATTTCAAAGCTTGCAGAGCCACTGCATCAAGTCATCTTCCTCATTTGACAATAATACCCAGGCCTAAACACAACCGTATTCTCCAAGATAGACATATTCACATTCAGTATTAAGGACTGTGGGGGCTGCAGCCTTAAAAAAAAAGCATGTCATTTTTAGCTGATGATGCACCCACATAAGCAACTACACAGCACACAAGGCAGCTATTGACTTGCTGTTTTATTTCTATTAGTACAAACTCAGCAGGCTTTAAGTCTTTCTACTAGCCTTCACACAAGACAGATACCACAGTTTTTAATAGGACCACTGCTGCTTGCCATCTTTCAGGCCAAAAGCCTTATCACTAGATGTTGGATGCTTAACCTCCGCCAAATAAATAAATTACACTGCTCTGTTTCATCTCAAAAGGCAAAAAACACTTGAATTTCTTTTGGCAACACATTTTTGGGACAGAAGGTGGAAGGTCAAGCCAGCAGTTAGCTTATTGTCTGAAGCAATCAAGTCATTGGACAAGCTGAAACGCAGGCAATACAACCTTCCCTATTTCCTAACAGGATTCTGCTATTGAGGCATTCCCAAATTCCCTTTAAAGTGGGGAATTTCAAGGATCAGGCCTGATTGAAAGCATACTATTGACAGCCAGGAAAAAGAAGTAAATATTAAATTTCTCAAACAACAAAAGCCCTGCAGTCAGAAATGCAGCTCTATGGCACATATATCCCCCACAAACACCCCATGAAATTCAAATACAGACTATCCGCTTCCCTCTCTTAAGAGAAAGCTGCAACAATTCCCTGTTTACCAACAAAACATCACCTTC